TAGAGGATTAGCTTACGTGTTAAAAGATTGAAGATTGTAATTTGATTAATTAAAAAAGTGATCTCGAATTAGAGGTGTCTCGAATTGGAGTGTGCACTTTAATAGTTGATACCGTATACTGTACCTCATAGTTACCTCATTCCCCCAGCAACCGTATTCCCCTAGCATTATGTGCCCTTTGTACTCTTATCACCCTCCTTTTTTCTTACATTATCCCTCCCCCTCTCTTATTTTGATACCCCTAGATGCTAACTGCAAACTAGTATCACAAACAGCAATGGTATGTTTTGAACTTGGAATTGAATTTATAACTTTCTTTTATGTAAAATGTCAACATGATAGAGTTAAGACCAAAATTATCAATGGCATGGAACATCATTAACACCTTTATTCTGTTTACAAAACTATTGATAATATATAAGTGTTTACTCCTGAAAGTTGTTAAGGCTATTTTTTTTTAAATCAAACACTGACATAGCATTGCAAGGGTCATTATAGTAAATTTGACTGATAGTGTATCTCAAATGACATAAATGTATGTTAAATCAGCAAAATTTGCAAATTGATTTGGGTTAAGTATTCTAACCTGTAAAGGTAATATGGTTATTAAAATTCAGCATTATATAGGGCACAAACTGGTTGTTTTTCCTTATTTCAAAGGGAGGTATGGTACTTTGCATTTTGTAATTGCCAGTAAGTATGTTTGCATTACAGAAGTTCATTGCAATTGTAAATATGAGGTGGCGCTATTTGTAGAGCAATTTAAGAAAATGGAAAAGTTTAACAACAGACCACATTGCAAGGCCATAATAATTGTAATTTGGACCACTGTTTGGTAATCTCCTAAGGTTTTGTAGAAGTTTTATGGCCAGATTTAAAAATTTTTTTTTTTCATCTAAAATGTCTGTCCAAGACCAAGTCTTGTTCCCCTTCAACCAATTATGTATTAGAGGGTATGTGTGCTTAAAATTGCAATAAGATTAAAACCACAAGTATCATCTGACGTCTAGACTTATTAAAGGGTGTTTGATTAATGCTAAAGCTGGGTATTGTCTCCTGTTCTAATCCTCACTTCGGTTACAACAAAAACATGGATCTACGCCTCACAATGGCATCATTTCCTGATGATAGGTTGTCAGGTAGTGAAACAAATTAAACTCCAGAGAGTCATATTAAGTAAGCACCAAGTTTACATTAGATACAGTAATCAATGTTCTGTGATGGATTCTTTAAGTGTCTAATTTGTAAAATCATTGTAGGTCCTCATAGTGTACAGATAGTTGATGCAGGGAGATATAAAAATAATATTAATTTTTATATTTGTATGTCAATATCATTAGCAGAAGAAATATAATTAAATTACATTGGAATCCTAGAAATAAAACTACATTTACAAACATCAACTCTATTAAAAGGAACATTGAAAACAGGACAAAAACGCAAATGGAATTCACATGAAGACCAAACAGTTGAACAAACTAAAAGACGAATTAACACATTTGTACAGAAACAACATATCATTTCTAGGGGCAAGGGTACTAGCCAAAAGACCTACAAAACTTAAAATGAATCTGATCAATACAAGGCAACTGAGATTCAGAAGCAGAACTGAAGATATCACTACAATACTCAAAATTGGAAGCAACTAAATTACGATATAAACTAATAATGGTACCAGGGTTTTTAATGTCTCTGCAATGTCTCCAAATAAACCCAAGCATTCTGTTCCCTTTAGAAATTATATGACAAATATGCTTTACAAACGTAAGTTTAGAATCAATAACAACACCTAAATCACGATTGAGTAAAACTCTGTCTAAAACATCGTCTCCAATATTATAAGAAAAACATAAGGGTTTATTTTTAAGTGAAACAGACATTCAGAGACAGTCCCTATTTTCTACTCCATGCAACAACAAAGTTGAGATCTTCCTGGAGGCCCTTGGCATCCGCCTCGGAGCCGACAACACGGTACAACTTCAGGTCATCAGCATAAGGCAGTGAGAATTGAATGTTACAGTATTTATAGCGCCTTATATTTGCTGTTATTGCAAAGAGAAATCCGTCTATGTATGCAACATAAGCCACTTTCAGATAGACGTTGCCTCAATATTACGTTAAGCATGTCGGTATAATTGCCAGTCTGTACCCTTTCACACAGCCGCGCCTTTGTTACCACAATATTGCAGAAATATTACTAGGGTGCAAGGTGGCCGAACGTAAGGCGGCATATTGGCGTATCGACCCTTTCTGACAGAAACCCATGCCAGCCTGCTTACCGCAATATTTTGGTATTGCAGCTCTCTCTTAAATGGACTTAATAGTGTATGATATCATACCAATACTTCATTTATTTTACTTTTATACATAGTGGAGCACTTTATATTTGGTATCAATTTGTGTGGTCCAATTTTCCCGTTCGTTAGTTCACTTACCCAAGGAAGTTTTATACTGTGTGCTTTGTGTTATAGAGTACTGTATGTAATTGAAACTCAGCAGTTAGCTAGCAATGGCCAATTAGAACATAGTTTGTGATGATTCACCTTATCCTGCTTTTATTTCCACTCTCATCTTAACTATAGTTGATTTTCATTTGCTTACATTGCACCTGTCAATTAATCAAACCAATGTGATTCTCTCTTTTATTTGACAGTAAATTAGTACTCAATCCACCCCAATTGGCTTTGAACAAAAAGATTTCTACTTCGCACATTAGTAATTTCCAAGAAAAGATAACCATTTAATTGTCTTTAAAAACAATTAAATGGTTGATTATTTGCCCTAGATTAATGCATAGGCTGACTAATACTCAACTCGCGTATTTTCTGTATATGTATTCAACCGTTGTGGCTTAAGACAACAATACTCTACATACCTTCCTGTTGTTCCAGGGAAAAAAACGAGGTGTTAAACCTCTTAGAAAAACTTAATAGTACAGTAATACTGTTTGTTGTTATTTGTTAGTTTGTTGAAAGCCTGCATTTACCTTTACATACACCTGTTTTGGATGTGAACATTTCGGCCGCGATGTATGTGACACCCGGATAGGAAATAAACGTGTTGCGTCTGTGATAACAAATAAACTTAATTATATCATAGTACAGTAAACAGGATTTTTATTATATTAAACTTACAATTACACTTTTTTTATTTTGTGCCAGGCCAGTCTAAGGACTAAATAAGTCTTTTACCTTTAGACATAGTTGTAATTTGTTTTTAAGTCAACAAATCACAATTCCTCAAAACAATTCATATAACATGATGTTGTTTTCCATCATAAAACTTGCAAACATTACATTCAACCAATCATAAGGTAGCCAAGTATTTCTTACACAGTCAAGATTGATAACCTGTCAATTTTTGTAATCCATCCATAACTAATTACAGTTATTTTAATCTATTTTCCTCAATTGAATTTAACCGATCAATAACATGAACACTAACCAGGAATGTTCCTAACATAAAGAAGTATTATACCCCCTAACGTTGCCTGAGGGTAACTGTAACCTTTTTTGTTTGTCCATTGATATGTATTGTAGAGGCCCTGATTAGAGACATATTTAAGGGTTAGGCCTAACAATGTCTTTGTTAGAGAGTTGTTCTATTTGTCATAATTAACTGTCATTGGTCATAGTTGGTTGGTTACTGTATAATGTTGGATTTTCAAACTAGAATTTTAATTTAAATCGTGAGTCACTATCTATTTCAAAAATCATTTGAATGTCCATCTTCTTGTCTTTTCTATGTTTTTATTATTTATATAAGTAAGTGACATTTTAATTCATTATTTATTTATTTTTTATTTATAACTTGTGTATCTTTTATTAACAGTACTCTATGCTATATAATTGTACTACTTGTGTGTAGATGCCCACTGGTTTGGCAAAAAGTATTCTGTATTATTTTTTATGATTATTTTAAATTATGACGAATAGATAATTGTAAAAATCATATTTGCAATGTGATCTTGTAAAAAGGCTAAAAGGTACCATCAATTACTTTATTCTTTTCCACTAACTGCTGAAAAGGTTTGCTAAATATTTTCATTTTATTTCAGTAATCTTTATGAGGGTGACCCTTCCAGCTGGACTGATATTCAGGGTGGCCCTCTACATGATAAAACAAGAAACAATACAAAAGGCAGTCAAAAAGCCAACATAAATAAGAAAAAAATTCCTCACAAAAAATAAACCTAGGTTCAGCTTATAAATTTAAAAACTACTTCTAAAATAATAAATTAATAACAAATTTGAAATACTGAGGAAGTGCATTTGAAATTGTAGGTGCAAGGTAACTAAAACTACTTTTAATATTTTCTAATTTTTTTTTGTGGGGGGGGGGAACTTGCAAGTGACCCTTAGTTATTGCACATGTAGATATAGTACACTGCTGGATGGTGTTCATGGTGATAGAAAATGTCTTGCATAAGGTGTAGGTTCAAACACAAACAACCATTGTGGTATCTTTCACAGGCAACCCGAACCTTATATTCTTATAGTTTCACCCACCCACACTAATGGCAATTGATATTAGATATTACCCCCATGCTTCATCTTTTTCAGACATGCGCAAAAATTATGTTCGTGACAAGTATTGATAGCTTTGTTATTGATAGCTCTGTTGTGATTAAATCCGGTTTTTAAAATTCTTTATTGTCCTGATTTGTTTGTAGATGATCGTTATCAACTTTGTTGTATCTAATTTACTGATCAAATAACATGGTCCCCTGTTTACATTACTAAAGATAAATTTGATTTTTCACAAATAATCTTAAAATCAATATTTATCAAAAAATTGTCCTGATTAGTTTGTAGATGATCGTTATCAACTTTGTTGTATCTAATTTACTGATTAAATAACATGGTCTCCTGTTTACATTACTAAAGATAAATTTGATTTTTCACAAATAATCTTAAAATCAATATTTATCCAAAAAAAAAAGTGTAATCCTAGCTCGCTAGATTTCATCATTCCAAAAACTAACTTTTTTTCATTTGTAGCCAGCAAGATGTATGTGTGTTTGCCTAACTACAGAAATTAATTTTACTCCACTGAACAAAACCTTACATCTGATACTAACGCAAAAGTGTGTGTTCAAAACCAATGATGGTATATGATTCAGGTCAGTATGTTTAACATGGTAGATAGCGATCCTCCAACTGTTGAAGATGTCTTGGAAATTGAAAGTCTCTTATACAAGGTAGGACTGGTACCTTTAATTACTTTCATTGAATTTATAACTCATCTAAAAATGGAAGCACAGATTACATGATGGAAAGTAAATTGGTAAGATATTTGTCTGTATTGTTGTATCGTTTGGAAAGACAATTTTTTTGATATTAATGTAGTTTGGTGATTTTTTTAATCTATAGCTACGTGATCTCTTGACCAATGAGCTTCCTGATGATCTGCTTGATGATTGCTCCTCTCTATCATCACATGACTCATCTGGATTTGAATCTCCGACAACCAAGAGCAGCAGGTAACGATTGAGGCTTCACCTGTTCAGATGGTGAAAGGTTGTTCTATTGTGAACAACAGTTAATTGTAAAGGTTGATAACTGTGATCCTTTTTAATTATATTTCAAGAGTTTTCCAGATTTATTAAGTGCTCAAATATTGCAACGGTTGTAATTAAAAAAGCTTTTCAAGTAATCATTAAAAGTAATAAAAGTGTTATTAATTAGCTTATCTTTTAACAAACTATGTAATGAAAAAGACTACTCCCCATCAAGGCCCTTCGTGCTGTATATACTAGCGAGACATTTTTCATTCTTTGTTTTACATACTTATTTTTCAGAGAAGGGCGGTATAAAAATAAAAATAAAATTTTTTTTTCTTATTTAGCAAATAGTTTTGCCAAAATCATCCAGACGGAGGAGAAAATAAAAATAAAATTTTATTGGTGAATGTAAAATAGGATGATGCTTCAAATGTATATAATTAGGAAGAAATATACACGTCTTATCTTTGGAGATTTCAAGGCAGCTGAGGGCATAATAAAAATAAAGAAAAACTTTTATTTTTTTCTGAAATTTCCACTTTATCGTGGCGGCAGGTGCGCTAATTGGCCAAAACTAAAATTTTATTTTTATTTGAAATCATCAATATCTGCGGGTTCGCTAAAAAAAGAATAAAAAAAGTCTTGCCTATTACCAAGTCTCATTATTGCTTGAGGAATAGTAGTGTATTTGATTTTTTTCTTTTAATAATGACTTTTTTTCCCGAGATTTACGAAGAACCTTGGGATTTAAAGGCAAGCATCTTAACTCAAAGTCACAACTGCTTTTTGAAAGACATTATTTTTAGTGACTGATAAGGATTATTGCTTAGGTTGATAACTTTGATGATATGATGAAATGTTTCCTTGTGTGTGATACTTGTGCTATTAACTACAGTGCAATGTTCCTCTGCACTTCACCACTAATTTCATTTTTGTGTACTCTTGCAGTTTCAAGTAAATTGCTAAATATTTCAACCTATTGATTAGCAATATTACCATCTTCCAAGCTGATCTATTATGTGTTCAAATATTTTACAATGTGTTAAAAAGTAATTGATTAATAATTAATTAGTTAACAAAACATCTTTGGAGGGAAAATGTGTTATGAATACTTGATATTAGCAAACTAAGTTATCTTCAAACATATCAAAATAAATGATGTTTGCATTTGTAAATAATTGCTGAATTTCCTGTAATATGTAAACATAATTAATACATTCAACATACCGTGTCATATCTAGTTATGTCCACAGCCTAACAGCTGTGTATACAGTAAAGTCAATGTCCAAAGTCACACTATGGTGTTTTGAAATCCATTACAACACCTTTCAATATAAAATGAGAGTAACATGAATTAATTTTTTTGGCACTAGACTTTCCTTAATTGTTAAAAAATGTTCCTTATTTAATAGAAATTGATGTACCCCTATAAAATTTTGACCCGCTATGAATTTAGACAACGTCTGCTTGAATATTCAACATTTGAACATTGATATTGTTACATATTTGTCTACCATAAGGGCTAGGTTTTATTTTCCAATGAATCTTGTGCAAAAAACAAGTTTACACTATTTTGGAGAGCAATAATTTGCCAAAGGTATTGTTATGATAGAATATGATTAAAGATATACTGGCTCCTTAAAAGACCACCTAAATAGAACTTTTAGTTTCTCATTTAAATAACCATAAATCGTAAGTCACAGATAAAATATATATTCAATTTAAGTGGTAGTGTCTTTTTAAAAAATGCATCAACGTGTGTACTGTATGATAACATATTTTCTTACAAAACAATTTTTGGTTTTTATTTTATTTTATTTTTTTAAATTTTTAAGACACCAAATTTGGCAACAGTTTGGGTGGCATCACCATGTAAAACCTGATCAGACATCAACCCCCGTAGAAAGTGGGGCGCCCCTAACTCTGAAAACTCCAGCACCAACACGAGACAGAGATTACCGGTTGCAACAGGTAGGTCACTTGTCCCAAGTTTAATTTTTTTACATTTTTGATATTACTTTCACTTTAAAACTTTCATAATACAGAGGTTTTATTTTATAGGCGGAAACACCTGATCACTATGAAGAGAGTGATACAGAATCTGGCGATCTTAGTAGACAGAATCAAAATGGCTACCATGACAATCATCACTATGGTAACAACTACACCCACCACCATGGACAACATAATGAATATGCAAATGAGCCTCATTTGAATGGTGTGGACAGTAATCAACCTGAGCTTCTCCATCAGTTTCACTATCGTCCAACACAAGAACACTTTGAGCACCAGCAGATCAAAGATGGTATACATGCAAATAAAAATAACAATGGTATGCGCCATTCAGAATGGAGCGGTGACAATGGAAAAAATGTAGATACGTGGGTTAAAAATGGGCAGTATTACCAGACACAGAATGAAGTATCGGATGGTTTTCCGAGGCAAGACGCTAATACTTACACGAGCATGCCACAACATGTGCAATATCGACCGCATCCAGATGCAAAAGATAATTTTCAAGAGAATTATGGGTGTAATGGACAAGACCATTCTGATAGCGGGGAGATCAAAAGTCTAAAGGAAGAGGAGATTAGGTTACAACAGTTTATGCACCAAGGTAATATTTTTTATATTTATGCCACTATCAAATCATTATGTAATAAAATATTAGTTGCTAATGTCCTAATTAGAGCCTATACTAGAGTAGCTAATTACTACTCATCGGTAATCTGATATCTATTTCTTCTGTCTTAATTAAATCAGATTTTAGCATTTAGATTTGAAATTTAAAGCTAATTTGCATTCTTGTGGTACAGGTGGAAGCAGTGACTCTCGTCATCTAGGTCAACTGCAGATCTTGTACAAGGCTAGAGGTAGGGAGTTGGAAGAACTGCGCCAACAATTAAAACAAGTAACAGAAGAGGGTGCTAGGGAGACCAGAGTACTTAACCATCAACTTGCACTTTCCGACGGTAAGACACACAGTGGATTGTTTCATTATCAAACACTTGCAGGTTGTTTTAACCTTTATCATTCTTATTCACAAATCTCACCTCAATTATTTCGTCGCTCACATCACAAACTAACACAGTCAAAGTAGTTAGTTTGTGTGTTTGTGTTTGTAGCGCGTCAAAACGAGCGCATATTGGTTGTCAAGCACTTTTGTATTCTTTACCACACAAAAAGTCGTTAACAACAACATCGCATATTTTGACGCGCTTTCTTGATTTCACAAACTAACACAATCTACTTTGATGGTGTTAGTTTGTGATGGTAGCAACGATTTGTAAGTAAACTTTAGTTCTTCTTCTGCAGGAAATTTTCTTCACTCTAATTTAGCTAACTGTGTATTTATTTTGTAATAAACTCTTTCACAATAAAACCATTCATTATCATAACAAGCATTCGTATTTTAACAGGGCCAGCCACAAAAATTGCGTGTATATTTTTATTGCCTAGATTTTTCATAAACTTTTTGATACCCATTACTTTAGGTGAGAAATCTGCTTTGACATTGGAACTGGAACAGAACAAAGAACATCTTAAACAATGCATCCATGATAGTAACAACTTAAAGATGACAGTAAAAACCTATGAACAGGATATACAGGAACTTCTGGGAAGCAAACAACAAGTAAGGAAAACCACTGAAAATGAATTTTTATACACTTCTGCTAAACACAGTGGCCTGGTTAAAACCCCTAAAATTTTGCATTCCCAGCTTAAATCTATTTTGGAATTTCAAATCATCAATTGCTTTCTCTTACTCAGTGGCGGATCCAATAGGGGGAGGGGGTCTTGTTGTGTCATATTTTTGCCACTTCATTTTTTAATTTCAATACATTCAATACCAATGCCAATGTACAAATACAAAATGTATCAACAGAGCCTCCAGCCAATTTGTTGTGTCACTGCTGCTATAACTAGTTCTTCCCACTTATCTATTCTGAAAATTTTGTGGGAGACCCCCTCCCCAATTGAAAAAAATCTGAATCTGCCTCTGATACTGTTCTCCTTTTTCTTAATGTACCAAAGAATAGTGATTGTAATTGGTTTTAGGATTGCAGTAAGATTTTGAAAATGTTCCGTTAATTACATTTTTCTCTATTTCTTAAGGTATGTCCAGCTTTTTTCATATTTTTTTGTATTACTATTTTTCTATTTTACAAAAGTCTAATAGAAATCCCACTTGTTACACTTTTAAAATTTTGTATTTCGTCTAATGTTTACTTTTAATTGTGTGGTTCATTGTTCCACCAGCTTACTAATCAACTTGAAGATTTATCAGCCAATAACGAAGCTCTAAACCATCAACTCATTCAACTGAATCAATCAGAGACAATCTCCAGGTCACGTGACCAACATGATATGCGATTGGCTGAATTGCAGAGACGCCAACAGGAAGCTGTATTTGAATTTGAAAGCAAGCTGGATAAGTTGAATGCAGAATTACGTGAAAAGGTATTGTATTAAAATTGCACCTTATTGTCTTTACCATAATCATCATCGTCATTATTAACAGCATCATCTTCACCACATCATATATGTCATAACAAACACAAGCATGAACCATTTTTATCATCAGTAATGGAATTCCTAATCAAAGTCTCTTAGATAACCGAAGTTAGGCATTTCTGAGCCCTGTTAGATCATGGATGTTTGACTGACTTGGGAACACCCATTTCTATAGTTGAGCATTAATGCAGGGTACTGCAAACAAGAGAATACAGTTTTTGAAATCAGGTCTTTGATGTGATTACTAAGCTGTAAACACATGGTACTGGGCACTTTAAATTTTACTAAACATCCTTTAAGAAGAGTAAGAGGTTCTTGAAGTTTTAGTCCAGCCCAGGCATTACCACCAGTTGAACCCCACTGAAATGAAGTCTTGATCCTTTTTGTGTCACAAAATTAAGAACACCAATTAATAATCTCTTGAGCAAGTTTCATAATTAGTATTTTCATCTAGTTGTATATTGTACAAAAAACTAACAAAGGCTCCAGTATGACAGGATTCATTTTACTGTTGATCACACAGACAACTCCCTCTCCCTACTTCTTCCAATGATGTGGTCTGACCTTATACATTTTGATGAGTCAAATAACTTTTGCCTACATCATAATTCTCAAACAGGAAAGTGAACTGTCATCCCAAAGAGATGAGATAGCACAGCTCAGGAAAGATCATAACAGAGAAAAGGTTGATATGACAGAGACAGTGAGTGTACTCACCAGACAATTGGAGGAGAGTCAACGGCAATGCAGAGACTTGCTGGACACTGGTAAGATTACTGATGCAGATGGTTCTAAAGCATTTTGACTCGTATATATTCTTGATTAAGAGTAGCATTTCTATTTCATTATGTAACAAGTTAAAAACATCCTAAACGCTACGTTTATAAAATGTACACTCGGTTTGTAGTGACAATACCTTTTAAAGAATGGTTGTATTTTAGAGACACATATCAGGGATGTCACCAGCTTTTTGAAGTGCCGGTCGGCGATCATTCCGCGTTTTCCCGGGGGCGGGGGTGCCAACCCTCCCCCCCCCCGTTTTCCCGGGGGTGGGTCGCCGTATTCGTGAAAGCTCTTAAAAACCAAAAGCCCTAAGTAAGTCGAGCAGGCCTAGGCCCAAGGCTAGCTGACGCGATTTTTTTTGGCCTAGGCCAGGCCCAGGTAGGCCTAGGCCAGAATTTGAGGAATGCAACAAAACAGATGAAGATGAGACTTACTGTAGGCCTAATTAAATTCAATAGTTGACATGCTTTGTTTTAGATTAAAAAATAACATGCTTTGTTTTAGATTAAAAAATAATAATGAACAAATGTACCCAGCCGCATTGTTTGCCGTAATTTCACATGTTTGACGATTACCACGATGAATGTGTATGTCACTGATTCATGTGCACTCATTTATTTATTTTTTGTCCATTTACACACATTATATATCAATTAAAATTAAAAAGTGAAAAACTTAAAATACAAAATGAAAACAAAGTAAAGAAATAAAACATAAATCAAGTTTCGTAAATTTTTAATAATCTTCCTGCCCCGGACCATGATCTCATAATAAAACACTTGAATGGTCACGATTTCAACTTTAACCTTTGAATGTGTACAGAGCAACCGTGTCATGCCAGCCCACGATGTTCGCTATGACGACTCAACTGGGCCTAGGCTGTTAAGTTAGCGATGAATAGCAGGGCAGTGCAGTATTTTGTTACAATTAACGTAACCACGGAAACATTTATTGTATTCTTATTGTCTTTTCTATCAATTTAGCTTGTCTATTGTGTTTAGGTAAACTAATTATTTTGTTACAATTTGTAAACTGTTGAAATAATAGTGGTGGTCGGGAGCCTGTAAATCCTGGTCGGAAATGTTGAGTGCTGGACGGGCCCGTCCACCGCCGACCAGCGTGGTGACATCCCTGACATATTGTTAGTTCTGAGTAGGTTGTGTGTCTTTCGAGAGCAAGCATGTTATAATGTGTGGATCTGTATTCTTCATCAATAACTATAGGATCTGTGCAAGAGATTGGTCAGCTGAAACTTCAGCTCCAGCACACCACATCATCTAAATGCATGGCAGAGAACATGTGCCAGGCATTGCAGGATGAACTAGCTGACATCAAAGAGGAACTAAGGATGTATGAGGCTGCAGCTTGTCTTGGGGTCGGACCTTCAAAATCACCCAATGGTCTAGTCAACACTGTTGATTCGTATATTCAGCTTGGCGTGAGGAATCTTGCCAAAGAAGACTGGAAGACACCAAAAGTATTTCAGTAAGTACCTTGTTGACTAAATCATTACTTGATTATTAGATTAATTTGTTAATAATGGTCAAGTCAAATTTGGTTTAGTGGCCTTATATTAAAGGTATCTAAGCTGAGATAAAATATTATGTAATAAATCTGAACAATTTTGTCTACATAAATAATATAGCTAGCAGGTATATATTTTTTATAATTTCGTAATTAACGGAATTTATCACATTACAATTTACATGTATTGATGAATTAAAAAATAATATTTATTATAATAACTATTTACAAAATGTAAAATAATTGAAACTTCATATGTAAAATATGTACATGAATTAAATGTTGCATTTTATTTCCGAAATAGAAATGGTTCATCTAAGGTGTTGGCATCTGATGACTTAGTCTCTGGTCTTAAAACTGAGCTTGAAAGGTCACTTAACAGTAATAGGTCAAAGCGTGGTCAAGTGATACAGTTACAAAATGAACTGAAAACTGTCAACGAAGATTTGGCAAAAATTAAAACAAAAATGGCTGAAATGGAAAATGAACTGAAAGATAAAGAGGTACTTTAATTAATGAATATTCATGAGATTTCTGCTAAGGTTTAAAGGTCACATTTAGAGTGTACTTGCTGTTGTATCTGACAGAAAAAGATATGATTGGTTGGTTTTCATTGTTGATTTTTTAGAGGAGTATTTTAAGGTGTTGATGTATTCATTGATTGGTTGCTTCATTGATTGATTTCAGGTAAAGTTGCGGGTCTTTGAATCTCAGGATAAATCTAGTGTCCAAGAGGGAAACCGTGGCCAAACTGAGGGTCTGCGTTCTGAGCTCATTTACAGCAAAGAGCATTCGGCTCAACTCCAAGTAGAAAACAAGGTGAGTTGATAATGAAGGCTGCTTGTACAAACTGTGTTGTGATGGATATTTTGATTGATTTCTCACATTTTGTGTTAGTTTTCTTGACAAAATAAATAAAAATTTGCATGCACTGTTGTCATATGGCCAGAATTGCTTTATTATTCTGTTCAAGAGAATAAACTTGCTGTTTGTGGGGTGGATGAGCAAAGGACAATCAGTTTAAATTAAGGCACTTGGAATTAAAAAAAAACATATGTAATTTTGTTAAGTATAAGACTTAATAACTAATAAGAAACAAAGGTAGCACTTGAAGACTAACTAATAGTGTCAAATTGATGTCTTGGTTTTTATCACAGTGTTCCATAGAATATGGCTCTTTTTTCAAATACATAAAACACATGTCATTAGTTCATACATTTTTTCCTCAGGAGCTGAAGATGTCTTTGAAGGAACTGCAGGAGAAGGAGGAAGCATTGTCACAGAAGAATCTTGAACTGAAGAACCAGATGTCAGAAATGATAGCCCAGCATGACGAGGATAGCAAGGTGGCAGTTGAGAGGTATAAAGCTCTCCATATGTTGTCGTAATTCACGTCGGATCCATAATCAGGGCTCAGAGGGATCGGAAGATCCTTGGCGAAACTGACAGTTCCACTTAATGGAACTTGGCAAATGTGTAAAGTGGCGAATTATGTTGTTTTGTGGTTCTTTTACAGAGTAAGCTCTATGTGGTACTTTTAGGCCTATCTTACTTGTTTTATGTGCATGTGCAGTGATTGAATCTGCAGTAAAATATATCGACAGTTTTGCAAATTCAAATTTCATGAGGTAGAAATAACCTTAAAAGCTAAAACGGTATTAGTTTCCTGCTTGTAAAAGGCTCCCTAAAAATGTCAGAAAATGCATTTCTGGACATCTGTAAACAAAATTTTTCCGGGACCATTTGGTGGGGCATCCTCCTTTACCTGAACACAAAGTGAGTCCCACTCAGTTTATAACTTGATCCCCCCCCCCCACCAACACTATCTCAGTCTTTGTCGCTGCCTTCAGCCTCCTTGATCTTTCATCTTAAGGACCCCAATGGAAATAAGATCTATTTAGGACTTTTTTGGTCTATCCTTGCCTCTCCTTACTGTTTGTTCTGTTTCTCTTCACTGTGTTTTTCCTTTTCTCTCTTCATGTTTTCCTTGTTGTCTTATTCTCTTTAAAATTTTTGAATTTTTTTAATGACTTTTTAATACTCTTGAATTTTAAATTGTTGTTTTAAATATTTTTATGGTCTCTTTTTTGTAAATTGTATCTGTTTCCTTCTGAGATGTAATAAATTCAAATCGAATTCAAGCCAGAAAATATGATAAATTATGTAATACCTAAATATAACCTATTAATTATGTGTTTGTTTTTTTTCAAATTTGTTTAGGACTCGTGCTACTGTTCTGCAGCTTCATGAGGACTCTTCCAAAAACCTGCGCCAAGAAATGATTCGAGAATGGGAGGAGGAGAAAGCAACTCTAGAAGAAGCTTATGAACACCGGCTTCAGCAACTTAAGTAAGTCATGACACTTTTTAACTTAAAAATTAACGAGAAATTAAAGGATTGTTTTTCATTTTATAATAGTGAATTTGGTGTATGAATCCTATTTCGTGTTTAAAATGTAAGCATTCTGAGCTCTCCGTGCTCTGATTTGCTGTTTGCAGCATCTTCATCATAGTGCATCTTTTAACCATTATAAATTTCTTATTTTCATACTTCAAAACATAAAATTGCCACTAGAAAATTGTTAGATATTTGTATATTAGTTGATCTATTTATTTATAACCAGAGGGCTTATTGTGTATTGATATAATAATGTATTGTGAGAATTCATTTGTCAAATAATTTTCTTGACAAAAATTATCTTTTTTTGCAATTAATATTCATCCAGGGAAGAGAATGGTAGGATCTTGAAAGAACTTGATGAGGTCAAAGGTCTATATGTCAAAGTTTGCGAAGAGAAGAATGAAATTGAGGACACTGTAAGAACCAATATGACAGATAACGCTCACAAGCAGTTGACAAAGGTGAACAGAAAAATGAGATTTTTAACCAATCTATGGGTCAAATTTGGGTTGCCAAACAAATTTTAGGGTCGTGAGATTTGTTAGAATTTTTTTTTTTTATTGAATTTATGTCATGCTAAACTTTACTGTAGTAAAAGAGAGTGCATTGTTAAGTATCACCATAATATTTTACTTCAGTTTTGCTTACTAGTTAATGACACATTTTCAGTATCCTGAAAAGTGGGTCACGACAAATTTCCAGGTTTGTGTCATCTGCCAAAATATTTCAGAATGACTGAGGCAAAAAATAATAAAACATTATATTCCCTTTGGTAATCAAGACTAAATATGTGTGACTACACAGCAGAGCCAAAGGTTGCTTGGTATAGAATCAATAGAATGTACTGTGTGACAGTTTTTTTTCGCTGTCACATGCTTATGTTTCGCTCTGTATAAATCAGCCTTATAGTATACAGTGATGGATCCAGGAAATGGCAAAAAGATGGGCCCATTAAAGGATTTTTAGAAGCGGAGGGTCTATACCACCTAAGCCCCACCATGGTTGGGGAAATGTATGATTATGGCACCTCTAGATTGCCGGAAATGGCACTCTCTCAGACTTGAATATCAATACTGTAATTTTCTTTTTTTCTCCTGATTTTCTATAATTTGGAAAATTAATGGGGCGGGGGCAGACCAGCTGGGCTCCCTACCCTTTTCCCTCTTTGTTGAATTTGCCACTAGTTTAATGACAGTCATAGTTTATTACAACCGGTAATTTGCAAGTCATTCCTTTTTGGATAAGAATTAATTGACCCATTCATTTTACTGAACAATTTGTTTATTTCTACCTCATTTATTCCAAGTAATTTCTGTTCAACCTATATGTTTATCTTCTAAATCATTTATAGGCAATTGAAGTACTTGAGAAACAACATGAAGAGAAATTAGCAAACTTGAAAAATTCTCTGGAAACCCAGCAACGAGTTGCCTTGACAACTGCAAGGAAAAAGATCATGGAGGAAAAAGAGGAAGAAATTGAAAAATTAGTGGAAGAAAAGGTTAAAGGTTTTTTAAATTGCAGTTTTAGAAATACCTAATGTTAATGTTCTTATAAGAGTTTTTGGTTTAGTAAATTTTTGACGATAAACGAAGAGAATGAAGAACTTTGGATGTTTACTTTTTTAACTTTTAATTATTTTAATAAACAAATATCTTTCTATTCTGATTATTTATTATATTTTTATCATAGAACATCTGAAATATATTTTATCAAATGAATTCAAAAGTTTTACAATCTCTAGTTGAGTTAAAAGCCTTTCTTTTTAAACATATAAGGTGTCTATTGCAAAGGCTGAATGGATGATAACGGCCCAGAAGCAGGCTAGGGAGACTGCAACCAAGGCTGTTGAAGCTGAGTGGGAGGCTAGGCTTAATGCGGAGGTCATCAGAAGACTTGATGATAAAGTCAATCAAGGTAAATATTTGAATAATTTTTTTTAATTCTGACGTATCTTTAACTAGATGTATGATTAATGTGACTATCTGTGCATATTAATCATAATAATAATGCGCAATATTAATCATATTAATCAAACTTACGCCGTTTTTGTCTCAAAATGGATACCCACAAAAATATTGGAACCATTCATCTCTGATCTATGACATGAACCCAACATTTTTGTCCCACTGATTTGTGTACTCTTCTTCCCAAAAGGAGTGAAGTTGTATAGGTTAGTGGTTAAAATGTTTGCCTCCTTTTCTCAGGGTCGTCGGTTCAGTTTCTTTGACAGAAGGATTTTTTCATGTCTAAAATCAACTCCAATCCACAGGCCTCATAGAGAGACTTGTTTTATAAAGCATCATCTATCCTTTAATTAGCAAGTTACTTGCTGTTGGATGCAAATGAATCTTTTGAAAGAGAGAAGAAAAAGATAATTTCAGATTCCACCACAGACAGCTGATTTTTAATGTATAGATTTTCCTGTGTCAATTAGATTTATAACTTATTTGTATTTTTTTATCTGTTGTCATTTTCTCCAGTTAAAGAAAACTTAATGGAAGAGTATCAACAGAAGCTGTCCAATGAAAGAGATTCACTAAAGGCGACTCATTCTGCTGAACAAGACATGGCAGTAACAACTGCATTGTCTAGAGCAAAGTTAGAATGGCAATCAGAACAAGAAACCACACTGAAGGAACTTGTAACAGAATCCTTGCAGAGGGAACGTGAAAACAGCTTAGAACCAGAAATTCAAAAACGAATTGATACTGCAGTACTGGCTGCAAAAGAACAATGGAGTAAACAAGAGACCAACAACCATTCTTATGATTCGGTGGACAGCTCTAAGTGGCTGTCACAACTGCAGTCATCCTGGAAAAAAGAAATGGAATCTCTGGAGAAGCAGAAAGACGAAGAGAAGCAGGATGCGCTTGAGGAATTAAGGAAACACAATGAGAGCCTTAAGATGACTTTAGAGCAACAGAAAAGTGTCCTCAGTGAGGCTCTTAAATCAGCTAGAGATGCATTTGAAAAAGAAAAGGTTTGTATTAAGTATCATGATATATAAAATTGTAAGTTTACTGAATAATAAATGTGAATTGTTTGGTAAGTGTATAAACTTGTGGACTATGGATACAACTATATTCTTAGCAAAAATTTTCAATTATTGATGATGATGGCTGCTATCATGGCAACCATGATGGCAACGTCGATTATGATGATATGATAATGATAATAATATATAGTAATAAAATGTAGTCATCTATATAGCACTCTTACCCAAGGGTATTACAGCACTTTGCAAATACAAACGTAATAGATTAAGATAATGATGTTTCAATATGATAATGATGACAGTGATGATGACAATGATGATTAGCATTAATCAGTTACTGTATAATTTACAGACCAAGATACTGAAGCAGAAAGACCTCGAGCACAGCATTGCTGAAGCAAAATTTAAAACCAAAATCTTAGAAGAATGGAGTGCAAATAAAAGAGAGGCTATCCAAGAGAAAGTTTTAGAAGAGCAAATAAAGTGGCAGAAGGTAAAGTGATTGTCAAAAATCACTCTTCTTTTTTACATTTTTGAGTTGTTGCAGTACAGTACTGACTACTCAAGTCATGAAATCTCTTTAAGGTGTTGAATCTTGAGGACTGAACTAATTTCTATTTTGTATTCAATTTTTGAAGCAAAGAATTTTTCTTTAGTTTGTAGGTTTTATTTCTCATCTAGTTGTGGCAGCGCCCTCATGTTCCAATCATAGTTTAGCTAAATTGAAACAATTTTATTGTTTTTTCAATTTAAAAAATAAAAAATCCTTTTCATAGACTTAAATTTGTATTTGTGTCGTTTACGTCATAGGAAAAGCAAGAATTGGAAGAGAATTTCACAGAACAAGTAAATGCTATTGAGAAAGATAAAGAAAGAGTAATGGCAAAACAGGATGAATTGATAGAAGAAGCAGTATCTAAAGCTAAGAAAGGATGGCATGAGGTATTAAACATTTTTAACATTTTATCTTTGAAAAATTATGTGTTCTGAATTTTTTCCTTGAATGATATTACTTCATGATAATCAAAATATGTGATTAAAATCGGTTTTTCATGGAGGGCAGTTATTGCAGCGGTTGTGGTTTGTACTCTTAACCGTGAGGTCGGGATTCTAATCTTTTCCTGTGCTTAGTGCTTGTGTCCTTTGACAAAGCACTTTATCCCCAAGGGTGTAAGTTGATACATGGTAGGATGCTGATTCTAGCTGTTTTGAAATTGTGCTCCCCGGAACTTATTTTTACTCTTTCATCTTAGAAGTATAATGATGAATCAAGGAAAGCTGACCAAGCTCTGGAAACTTGGGAAGAGGAGAAACACAACTTTCTTACAAAACTAGAGGAGCTTGAAGAAAAGAAACAAAATCTTGAAGAGAAGGTAGACAGTTATAAAAGAAAGTTCACACGAGAGCACAACCGGTTAGTTGAGAAATCGCTGATGGAGAGACAACGTCTGCAGCGAAAACTGAAATTGACTGAGAAAGAATTAGAACAGACAGAGTATACCTTGAAAAAGGAACTTGAACACCTGAAAGATCAGTTGAAGAATGAGGGATCAGTTGCCATGGAGACGATGCAAGCTAAGATGGCTGAACTACAAAGAAGACATACTGTTGCTATGGAAACACTTGAGAAGAAGCATGCTCAGGATCGTAAACGATGGTGTTTGGAGCAAGTTAAGGTCGCTGATAGCTATGTCCAGGTTATTTGTTTTTTAATAAAATTATTTAAAATAATATTATTAGTGATAATATTTAAAATTGAAAATAGTATAAATTCTCTGTAAAACAGATTGTTAACAAAAATTATGTGTTTCTGATTTAGACTCCAACTAACAATACATCCCATGATGCAACAGATGGGCTCCAAGAACTCAGGGCACATTACTTGGCAACAGTAAACAAAATAAAAGGTAACAGAAACTAATAACTCTACATGTTACAGTACTTTATTTGTTACTTGTGTTGCTAGCTGTCTTCATTTTGAAGTCACTTTTCCATCAATGACCTCAGTTGACATATACAATATTGTTATTTCATTGAATTAATACTTCCTTTCTTAACACAATTCGTATCGTGTTCACCAGATGATGTTCTTGTGCACGTGGAGAAGACGAGGGAACATTGCCGCGAAACGGTTCGTAAGGAAGTGATCAAAGAACGACATGCAACTGCTAAGAAGCTTCGCAAGTACTACTTGCAGTGCTTGCAACAACTGCTTGATGAGGACAGACAGGGTGCAAGGTAAAATTGACATCACACTCAAATTTTACAGCCCCACTTTTTAAGCCAGCAGAATCCCAAGTAAAACTTAAAGAATCATCTAAATCCAACCTACAGCTGTTTAAAGAACAATATGTGAGAAATCAGCCTTTAAAGTTTATGATTTTGGGCATTTCTTAGGCAGAAACCATCACCAAATCATTTAAAATGGTTGTTTTCACATTGAAATTGGAGAAAATAACAACATAGCATGATATATAGATATATAAAGGTTAGTTTAGTATTATAAAATAGATTTCAAAAATGTTGACATTCCAGCATGTTTTGACCATTATCTCTGAAACAGGATTTGCAACAAGTGACTGGTTTTGCTTGTCTTCGCCACATATAATTAAATGCATCAGAATTTGATTATTTTTGTTTCTACTTTTAAATTTCAGAAATGGTACAGGAACCATGCTGAGCACAGCAAATAAACTGGCGGCCATGGCAAGTGCACTGGAATTGTCACCCGAGCGAACAAGTGGTTCAAATTTAAATATCACGGAAGGAGTCACGTTAAGAAGCGTGGACGAGTCAAAGGTAAAGAACGCTAAATGTGAACAGAATGCAGAGGTGGTGTCACTTTCAGAAAAGCAGCCACCAAAGATGGATTTAATGAAACACTGGAGCAGTGAGTCTAGTTTATGCAACTTTTTGGATACAGATAGCGAGTCTAACTATCGAAGATCTGATCCAACAGACTCAAGAGGGAGCATTAAAAACAACTGGCAAGAAGAAAAACTTGGGAGTAGTTTGGAATCCTTATCAATGTCCCCCAGAGAATTCAATCCCATGCCCGAGAAACCTATGTCAGTCTCACCACAAAGAGCCATATCATCTGAAACTTTTAAGCCTTATACTTCGAGGAATGCCCATCATACAGACAACAGTAAGTCAGTTGGAAATATAACTGTTCGTGCAAGACAACCAATTTATAAGCAAGGTCATAGTTCAGACATAAAATCAAATGTTATTGATAATGAACGTGTTACCATACAATCAAAAAATTGTGATAATCAACATATAAGTCCCATTAATGCATCACAGCCATCAAGATATGCTAATAATGTGAGTACAAGGAATCCTGTCCACATTCCAGATCAATCTGATCGAACAAAGATTCTGTTAGAAAGCATGAAGCAAGCGGGAAAAACAACTCAAATGAAATTCACACGTCAAATACAGGTACCGATGAATCTCTCAAACCTGTCAGTAACAACTGAATACAACGACCTTCCTGAAAGCTTGGACTCGTCCTTCTCCTCGAAGGAAAAAAGAGGAAGTGGTCGAGACAATCCAAATTTCCCAGTCAGCATTAGGTCATTAAACAAATGAATTTAAATGTAGGAGTATGCAAATTCTCATTCAAAATGGACACTGTCGCCCTTTTTCCTTTTGCATATTTTAATCAAATGTCTAAAAATATGGATGCTTTCCCATGGATACCAATACAAGTTTGCTATTGATGACAATACAAGGTTGCCATGGATGCCAATACAGTACAATGTTTTAGTAAAATTTCTTTACTTCAATCAGTAATCTATATAATAAATGCCAGTATACAATTCAGGAATTTCCATTTTAACTAGTGTTTTGTTCATTTTTTACTTCCTATTTTTCTCTACGGACAGACGAGAATTTTATATACAAATCTAGCTGTTTTTAATATGAATTTTTAATCCAAGTGATTCTGTGATATTTAACTGTTTTCATGTTATATAATGTTAAATATAAATATGTATATGATGTAATTTATAGTGTATAGAATTTATATGAATTTATGCTAGATATTTTATACCAATTGTTGTGAAATAAATTGATATTCAAAAATGAAGCTTTAGAATCTCATATTAATCTGTTCTTGTCTTAAGGGAAATTGTAAAATTTAGGATCAGGATTTGCTTTTGGAATGGCTCTACACAACTTATTATTATTCATAGTTGTTGTTTACATGCTTGCTCTGTATGCTTCTGTTTTTTTACGCGTAAAGTTAAGCGCATAGAGGCACTGTGCAATATGCGTATTCTGTATTACAGCATTGCATTAAAATAATAATTAAGCTTGATAACTTATCCTTTTACATTGAGTACTCTACTGTTTTATATATATTTTCTCTTTAAGTGTTTCAATACTTTACTTCCTTCAGTCAACCTTCAACACAACGAAAATACCAAATTAATTTTTCTTTTTTCAGCAGTTTATTAATTTTAATATTCATATTTCAATGTACAGGTAATTTATGCAAAATCTATCTATGATCCTTTTTTGATTCAAATAATTCTAATGTATTGATTCTGGGTCCTGCCAAGAAGCCATTGTTGAAATCTGATGCCGACAATCGTTTCCCGTTGAACACGATCTCTTGAAATCCTAACCATCCATCTGTACAGTGGCCACATAGTGCTTTGTGTTCCTTTGAATAATAGATTTGGCCAATACGTGCATTGTCAATACCTACAAATTGAAAAAGACAAGTGGATATTTGGTGAAAAGTGATGATGCCAACGGATGATAATGTTTAATATGAGGATTAGAAATTTGATGCTAAGTTGGTAATGAAAATGGGTCTGTCTGGAATGCCAAAATGTAACAACTGACCAATCAGGAGAATGCCAAGAATATTCGCATGCACAAACATTGTCCCACAAACACACGTTTTAAAATTCAGAATGTACTGTATATAATCGTGTATAAGGCCACCCATATATAAGACGACCCTCGAGTTTCAGAAGATTTTGGAGGATTTTTGTATGTCTGGCGTATAAGATGACCTTGTTTCAACGTCGGAATTTCTCATTTTTTTCTGCTTTTTATGGTCTTGATACTCAACCTAGCTGGCTAAAAATGGATCCAAAATACAAAATAATACCATTTAATGAGTTTTTAAATGTCCATCAAAATTTTATTTTCCCGTATTTAAAATTGCATTGCTTCAAACTGATATTTAGTAGCTTCATTGCAGTAGTAAATTTGCGTGTTACGGACAATCCGCTCATAATACGAACATGATTTAATAAATCTAAAATGTGTATGTCGTGTGTATAAGACGACCCTCTGTTTTTTATTGTAATTTGCTATTTTAAGCCTTGTCTTATACGCGAGTATATACAGTACACTCACCTATCCTGTGTGATTCCACAGATACCATCTTGTTCAACTTCACCACATTGCCTCTCCAAGTCGTCTGTAAGGGTACCTGCAAAATCAATAAGTCAATCATATACTTATTGTTACCAGTATATAATTTTTATATAAATTTTTATTTTAACCAGTTTTACTCATTTTTTATTTCCTATTTTTCTTTATTTATATGCTGGATATTATATATAAACTACAACAATGGATGGGCAAATCACAGACTTGTAATCTGTGAATAAGGTAACCAAAATGATGAGTTATGACTATAAAGTGTTGTAAACTAATTATTTTTGTCTAAAAAATTCTTGTGACCAGGTTAAAATGTTATAATAGTGATATTTAAATCGGAGCTTGCATTTTTATTCTCATGTATACAATTGATTATATTATTATATAATAAACAAGGTTTCTAAGTCCAATTAAAGGGCAAGGTGAAAATACTGTCATTATTATGATGACTGCCACTGGCTGTAACATACCTGGTCATAAATTGCACGGTATAATCGGGAAATACTCTCAGAAGTGTTGTTCCAATCGACCACTTCAAGGCCTACCTTTCGTTTTGGTGCTACAAATGATAAAAGACATATTTTAATGAAAAATGTTTATTTTAATACCTCCTTTGACAATAAAATAATTTTTTATACTTTCTTTTTAACAATTACTTGAGAAGAAATAAACCTTTGAATTGGAAGGCAAGTGTCTTAATGGTAATCACAAAGCTACAGCCGCACTTAACAATCACATACCATATGTTGCTTCATTATCGTTTTGCTGCCTCTTGTTATTAATGCATTTTTCAAGATCTGTCAGCGTGTCAATTACCTGGAATAAAATCATAAAGAAAATTCATCTACTTTTTAAAAAAGTTATATTAATATTGTATTTATTATATAATTAAATTATATTATTACATTATTTTATTACATATTGTATCTATGTACTGTACTCTGTCTAAATTGAAAGCAAGTAAGTGTGTTTATTTATTTCTACATACAAAGTGGTTGTTTTAATATACAGATATGGTGTAACAGATATGAATGTGAATTATCAAAATTATAAATTCATGATTTAACCATTCCTTAAAATTTTAAGTTATAAAACATCTCTACTGTCATACACCATTGAACGTTGAAACTTTCTATGATTAATTTTGGTACTATTGAAGTTCTTTAAGTGATTGATTGACTGATTGATGGAAAGTGTGATTGATTAGTCGTCATACTCACTAGAAGTGCACCTTTTCTTGCCAATAAATGCCTCAGATCAGCTGCAGTACAGTTGTGAGGTACAGGAATATGCTGTTGTTTCAAAATAGCACCTGAATCAAATCTGAGGAAAAGAATGTACATTAAAAAGATTATGTATTGCCTGTAAGTTCAGCTAAGTGGCTGTATCAAACCGATATTGCCTAGTGTTCAAATTGTGTACAAGTATACAAAATCAAAGCTGTTTCCCTATCTACTGCATACCCTTTCGGCGTTACCTTTCGTTGAGGTGCATTATTGTTACACCAGTTTCTCTGTCACCATTAAGAATAGTATGCATGATTGGGTTGGCACCACGCCAACGTGGAAGCAGACTTGGATGAACGTTAATAATACCACTGTAAATACAAACAAAATTCATTGATAATGTCATCGGTCTTCTGATGTCAAATATTTGCATAAAAACCGTCACCTTCAGTCAAATGAAGGTGTTCCAGGAAGTGTCTGTATTCTAAGGATTCAACACTGCCTTTTTAAATTAATTTCTAAATAAGTTATCTGCGGGATAAATGTATAGACTTTTTTATTTCCTGCATATATGTGTTACGTAAATTAGGTCAATAACTTACAATGGTAGTTTATGCAGTACGTCAGCTGGTATGAGATGGCCAAATGATGACAGAACTCCTACATCAAACTCCTTGAGATTTTGAACGTCAATTGGCCATGGCTCAAGTTGCAAGTGGTTGTCCCGTACATATGACCACACTGGTGACACCTCTTTCAATTTATTCCTCAATTTGACATACTATGGAGAAAAAGAAGAGAAGTAGCATTATTATTACATGATGATGAAATATGTGTGTCGCACAAAGAAAATGTTTTTAGGCTTCTCCCCTCTTGGACCCAATTTCCAGCAAGGTCGTGGGGGAAAAATCAAATCTCGAGCGCCGAAAGTGCAATACAAGCATGCCTTACTAAGCTGTCAAAGTGCTACTGTATGTGCGAGGAGTTGTACACTATTGCGATCATATGTGTTGCAGTGGTGGCGCCAGCTCTTCCCGCTGGTACCTCTGACAGGGTGTTAGATTGTATGTTTTTCTATCAAATTATCCTCTTTAAATAAATAATCTCATAAATAACACAACATTTTATTATTTTTTATACTTACTTTACTTGAACAAACAACTCTGAGTGTATCAACCAATCCATTTTCTCTCCTACATGGTAAAAAATACATCTTTATTATTATTGAACTCTCACCAATTTACATTGACACCTAAATTTAGGCTTGGGTGGGGGGCGCCAGGGAAATTTGAAAAGTTGTGAGACAATCCTGTGATCTATGTGTAGCACAAATAATAACTCAACTACATTATTCAATTATAATTACAGGGGCAGATCCAGAATTTTCAAACATGGGGGCACAACTGTTTCAAAATAGATAAGTGTGTAGCACATAACATTTTTAAAATTTAGTGGTAAAACGGGGGAATGTACCCCAGTGCCCCTACTGGACCGGCCACCACCCCCTGAATTATTACCGACGTACCTGTTTTCATTAAGCACTTTCAATGACTCTAAGGAGAAAGAATCAGTGCCAAAAAAAAGAATTCTCCAACTTGGTTGTTTTGATTTGCAGTACTTCCTTATATACATCTGAAGTACCGACTGCACTCCACAAAGTTGAAGTAAGTGTTTATGTGTTGCATTCATTGTTTACAGTGTATTATTAACAGCTGAATTGTTAACTTTCTGGTAGTTATGGTAGTCATATCTTGTCTTGTATATCTTTGCCTCTTTTTAAGTTACATCACTGATCAGCATTCATGTGCCAATATTTCATTATACAATACATCCAGGCATTTTCTTCATTGTCAGCTTCTATTTATAGTGCATAGCCTATGATAAAAGCCAAATCTGTAGATGCCAAAAAATAAAACAATTCATTTCATTGGGAGAAAAGCAGACTTTTTTTCCATTGCGTCTGGGCTTATTTCATAAATAAATTGACTTTCTGACCCTTTAGTGATAATTATTTCTTAAACTTAAAGGCTAAGTTTTGCATTACCGTACATACTTTTATATAGAGTTTGATCTTGATCTTGAAGGTATGATTAATAAGATCCAAATGGAGCAACATTCAATTGTTACAGCAGACTGAAATAAGTACAGTATACACTCTGTTGGAGTAATCAATCACTGGAATGTTCTCACAAACGAAGCTGTTACAGCAAAGACAGTTGATAGGTTCAAATCCAAAATAAGGCCAAATAAATAAAATTATTGTGTTCGCCACGCCTGACCGACCCAAATTTTACAGGGTCGACATTTTAGTTTGTTTTTTTTTTAATTCAAGGAACAATATATTTTTCATGAGCTACTAAGGCTGGAATAGCCGTGGACGGTAGGTCTAAATACCTGTTTCATGTATCAGTATGACTGATGGATTTTTTATTGTTAAAATGGAAATGTATTGTAATTGCAGCTAGGCCTAGCTACGAAGCTACTAGGCCCTACGGGCCTACCTTATTATCTTATAGGCCTAGATAAGTAAGGCCCTAGTCTAGGGCCTTACTTATCTATAAGATAATAAGGTAGGCCTAGGCCCGTCCTAGCCTAGCCCAGCTGGAAAAAAGAGTAGCATTAACTAATGACACATATTACAGTTTAGTAGGTTTACATAATTATGAACATCCACACGGACCACCATACCTCAAACACACTACTAATTAAGGCTTTTCAATCAGCTGCAAACAAAAACAACAACAACTGCATGCACACTTTCGTTACGGCCGATTGAGTAATTGATGACCTCCTTGGAACATTCCAATATTTTCTTTTTATTTTGATGGTTTTGATCGTTTTAAAAATTATTTGGTCATTTTTTTATCCTACATATTTCCCTTTGTGTACTAATGATTTTTTTAGCCACATATTTTATACATCATTGTATTTTATAAGTTAATACATATCTTTACAAAAAGTTAAGCAGAAACCCGGAAAAGGTTGCACTCGGGGGACACACACTTATGCATAAACGGACAGAAATAATTTATTGTATTTTTTAGCCTTAAAGAACAGAACTTAAACATTTTGTACCACTTAAATATATACAATATTTTTTTACAAATTTTAAATATTACAAATTAGGTATTTAAAATAAATATATAGAATGGTATGATGCCAAGTCAATCCATAAATCTATAGTCTTGCTCCACCGTTTCATTGTCGTCGATAGAAGAACATTTTTTTAATCTAAAGGACACGTGAGTTACCTTATTTCTTCAGTTATGTTAATGTTAAAATACTAATGTTATATATTTTTCATGTATTGTAACTATAAAGTATAGTGATTATGTTGATTTTGACTATTTTTACTGAAATGAATCCTTTACCGAGTACTGAGTAATGAAATGATGGGTGTTGTCAGATCAATCTGTGTAGCCTGGCTGGCCCGACTGAGAGCGAGTCAGGCGTCCCAGTCGTGTGCATACTGAGAATGCTATAGTTTTTTCAGATGGTCATTTTCGTATGGTGGGGCCCACAATCCTGACTAGGACCTAATTCAATAACAATATAAAATACAGCAGTTAATAGTTATACTAGGCCTACTATTATTCTGATCTGTCAGAATACTTGTCTAGGCCTAGTAGTAACTGTACAAATGTTTGAATTTTCTGACGACAGACGACTGAGCTGATTCTTCATTTTTAACTGTTTTTCATGATTCTTTAAAAAATTGTTGCAGAATAAAACTTTTCAGTAAGGCTTCACATTAAACTAAAGTTAGACTTCTACATGTATGATTGAGTTCACTATCAAAACTGATCAGTTTGTAATTTTCCTAGAAACTTCGACTCCCTATTACAGGTACATTAGTCCTAGCCTAGCCTAAAGTAAAGTGGATACCTGATTCCTTGGGGGAATATATTCTTTGAGCAAAAATTTGCCCTAGGAATCTGCCCGTGCATTTCAGAAAATAGTTAATAGAGCCACTATAATTTTATGCTACATTATCAATTTTTTTTTTTTCATGTGGAAGTGGCCACACCCCCTCTAGACCCTACAGTAAGGTTGCTTTGTGACGATCATTATTGTCCTTGATTTAATCTACATACTTGGCCCTAATAAAATATAGTTGAGAATCCCTGTTGTTACCTCTACCCAATTGTTATAACAATTTTATTAAAATAAAATAAATAATGAATAGGCCTATACTCTTCATTACCTCTAACCATTGTTATACAAATAAATATAATACAAGTAATGAAAATATTCTTTATTACCGCTACCTAATATTATGCGAATAAATATGAAGAGAAATACAATGAGTAATGAAAATACTCTTTATTACCTCTACCCAAATAAACACTATCACTATATAAGTGATGAAAATATCCTTTATTACCTCTACCTATTATTTATTATATGAAATATGTACAATAAATTATGAAAATACTTTATATCTTCTACCAGTTCTTATATTAACACTTTGCCCTGCCAAAAACGGAGATCTCCGTGTTTGGTGATGCAATGCTTGACCCTCAAACACAGAGATCTCCATGTTTCAGGTTTTTTTTTAAGGAATCTGATAAATGGGATAATTACCGACAAGTACTGTACTAACAATTTGAACACTATATTTCTGTAAATCTCCAAGAGCGAGTCATTTTCATTTTACTGATTACGGGTCACAGATTGTGATTTGAATAAAGTGTTTAGTACCATTGTAAAGCTAAAATGTTAGTAGTTCTTGTAGTATTCACTACATGTCAGTATGGTGTTAAAATTTGATCAAAAGTCTGGCGGTGGCTGATACTATTTATTCAAACCGCTGGCAGTAGAGTGGTAATAAATATGATAAATATGAAAATGGAATCAAATCGTTAGTAATTATTAAATGGATAACAATTTTAGAAATTATTAAATTAGTTTATTAAATAAGTCTGAAATAATTTTATAAAGGATGCTGTACCAGCATCATATTTAGTATAGCTATATATTAATTCTGCTAATTACCTCCGCGTAACTTCACCTATCTCCTCTGAAACCGCTGGCAGGAATGTGCTCATCTTCCATACACTGGGGATTGATTCTATATGTCATGAACAGGATACTGTACAGTAGGCCACTTTTCAATGCTGGATATTTTACAAGGAAAAAAACAGCAAAAAATCACCGAAAATCACGTACCTGTTTCGCGAGTCTCCAAGGGCACATAAGTAAATCCCTTCTCTTTAATCTGTACCGCACTGCTCAGATCTAAAAATTAACAAGTCAGGACGAAAAAAAAAACAGTCTATGTTCGCAGCTTCATTACATCACCGCACATGCCTCACGTAAAAAAAAAATTGAGCAGCATGTTCAATTCTGATCTACTTCTACACACACGAACATGGAGGTTTATCCATTGTACAGTATACTGAGTATATTACTATAGTCTTACATATATATTCCGGTGTATAAGCCGCACCTGTGTATAAGCCATGTTAACAGAGTATTCTTGCTCTAGGCAGCCCTAAGGAAAGCCCCATTTTTTGCTAGACGGTCGTGCTACGTTAAATTTTCAACAACAGTTTAATAAAATAAAACACTTATTGAGTATATTTATATATTTTAAACAATCATTCTATTATTATGTTGACTAATAACAGTCGGTATTAGGCTAACTACCAGGGCACAATTAGGCATGATATTACAAGCTAGGCCAAGGCCTAATAATTTCGGCTGTGTCTAGGCCTAGGCTGCCCTACCGTAAACCTAGCATACTGTAGCCTAGCGACAGTACAGCATCCGTAGGCCTCTCTCTCTCAATTCCTGGTCAATTTGGACCGTGTCAATATGGCTATTCTTCCACAATGCGATAGTGCATGACATTAACATATAGCGACACTGAAGTTTAAGTTTAGGGTCAAGTCAGCGCCACCAATCAACACCTCAAATTTACATAACACATCGGATCAACAGGGGCAGATCCAGTACGGGGTGGGGGATAGTGGAAATTCAAGGTCGAGCCACCTTCACCAATCAACACCTTGAATTTACATAAACACGTCGGATCAACAGGGTCGGATCCAGTAGGGGGGGTTGTTGGGCAGATCAACGGGGCAGATACAGTGGGGTGGGGAGGTTGGGCACATGCCTCCCCATTTTGCCACTAAAGTTTTGAAATTTCAATGCGTATTATGTTATGTGCTGCTCACTTATCCATTCTAAACTGTTGTGTGGCCCCCCCTTTCCCCTTCCCATTAGAAAAATTTTGGGTCCGGCCTTCATCAAACTGGACATTAATTCCTCACAAGGACTATCCAGCAAAGACACTCATCTACAAAGAGATTATCTACAAAGACATAGTTTAGAAAAATAATAACATGCTAACCGATTTCCTGCTTGATTTCCCATAACGTTCCAACAGTACAGTACAGTCATGAAATATTGCACTTTTACCTGCGCAGGCTTCGTAGATACATCGTAGCCTGATATAAACATTCTAACCTGCGCGCAGGCATCGTAGCCTGATATAAACAATCTAAGCAAGGATACGCGAAGCGAACCTACGAAGCAAAAGCATGTTGTTTATTTGTATGTGCAGAAAGACTGCTGTAGCTTACTGGAATAAACAATGTATTGTTTGATAATTTGTGAATGGCAA